TGTTGTACTTTTAACCTTTTACCTTGCGGTGTGGACAATTTGTCTCAAGTTTGTCTTGTCAGAATTCCCCATTTTTTGTCGCAAGTTTGTCTTTTTTTTGTCCAAAATCGTCTTTATGTACTTTTTGTCGCCTTGGTTTGGACCCTGGCATAACATCAAATTCCATATTTTCGCCAACTAGATTATTAGCGCATACTATATTATTTTATGCCAACCAAGCTTGATGCGACAAGAAACATTTTTTATAAGTCATATTTATATTGTTAGTTTTCACCCTTCCCGTACTTTTTCTTGATTTTTGTAACAGTCACATATTTAAGTACTTAGCAAAACATAGACGCTCCATATCTCATTCATGTCGGAATAACGGTTCTTAAAATATCTTAAAAAATGTGTTTATTTTTTTAAAATTTGATGCCCTCTAACGGATAAACAAAGCACTTTTGTATAGAGGTAAATTTTATCAATGAGCTTATTTTGATTTGGGAGACAACACTGGGAGACCCTTATAATGCCTATATATAAACAAGGCTAATATTGCTAATATTTAATTTTATCGGAATTTAAATTATGGTGCTCTAAAACCGATAATAATACATCTTGTTTATTTGAATTTATTTGCCTATTTCAAAAAAGAAAATCAGTAGTAAAATAATAGCTATGAAAAATTATTTTTTATCCCTCTGAATAAATACAAAAGTCCAACCTGCAGCCTTTCTGTGTTTGGCCAACCGACCGCTGTCGAGATTTGCCTTTTTCTCGGAAAGCCCACCCCCGTTTACGTCGCAATTATATGTTTTCGTGGGGTGCACTTCCCAAACAAATCATCTTTTCGAAAAGAAAGGCTCGACCCTCCTGGAATCAAGAAGTGAATTACGGCCGTTCCATATACAGGGCGAACTTTGTATATAACTACCGGGGTTGAAAAAAAATGTTTCTTTTATTTTTAAACAAAATTTGTAGTTTGATGATGTAAAACCTTTTTTCCTGTTTACTTTTTTCTTCTTAATTGTTAACTAACACTTGTTTTAAATTCTGTTTTAAACTGCATATTGTAGATGGCACTCAAAAATTAAGAAATAAGTTGGATACCGATAAGGAGCTATAATAACTTCGATTTTTAGAGAGCTTAATGTGTTATATTTTTTATATTGTTAGCCCTATTTTCATGAATTTTTTAACAAAGTGTATATAAATATATCAACTTTAATTCATAAACTCAATTTTTTTGTTTACATTTCAGTATTTGGCTTTTTATACAGGAGTAAACGATTTAGATTATCTAAGGTAATCGAAGAGTTGATTTTTACCTTAACTTTAAAGCACCCTTTGCAATAATTTCGTGAGCAAATGATCGTAAAACATTATTTATCGGTCAGAAGTCAGAACCATGTTTACTGAGCATTTTATTTTTGGGATCATGTCAGTATACCGGGTACGTCTCGAAAGTGTCTCACCCCTATAACTTTTTTTTATTTTTTCAGATAAAAAAACGAGATTTGGTATGTTAGTATATGACATAAATTAGGATTGATTGACGTATTCAGTTGTTTTCGGTCACTTCCTCTTTCACCGGAAATGACTACAACTTTTGATTTTTAAATGGCAACCTCAATGTTTTTTTTTTACTTTATTCGATAGAAAATAACACTCTGAATCGAATGACATTATGTCAACTTTTACTTTTGACATATTCGCTCAAAAAGAAATTGTATTTTAAATTTCCATCTAGAGTGCCATATGGCTGTGTTAAAAACACTAATCTTTAATCAAGAAGCCTTGGAAAAATAGATTTGATTGCCTAATGTTTTTAGTTTTTAGTGTTCTTGACCGGTTAAAAGATGCCCAAATCGTATTTTTAATCATATCTCAATTTTTTCAAATAGAACGAGGATGACTCATTAGCATGGAAAAAGCATTTTTTATGAATAATTTGGTACCACACACTTGGTATTTCGAGTCAAAAATTGTCATTATGCACCGCATGTTATAATTTCAAATAAACCATATGCGAAAACGTGAAAAGTTGACATATGATATGTTATTCTATTCAGAGTGTCATTTTCTATCGAATAAAGTAAAAAAATACCGAGGGTTCCATTTAAAATTATAAAATTGTAATCATTTCTGGAAAAACCGGAAGTGACTGAAACAATTGAATATATCAATCAATCCTAATTTATGTCATATACTAACATACCAAATCTCGTTTTTTGTCGGAAAAAATAAAAAAGTTATAGGGGTGAGACACTTTTGAGACGCACCCGGTATACCTTGGTTAACTTTTAAGAGCGAAATGAACTTACCACCAACAATTTGCAATTATTTCATTTATCATTTCTTTTTGGTGTTATTGTTCAATATGACGAGGTACCCGAGGTGGCTTTGGTCTTTGGTGATTATTGTAAACTGTGAACTCTATACGATACCACTATGAATTGCCCAGCATGTTCGACAGATCTGAACCCTATAGAACACGTTTGGGAAATGCTTGATAATAGGGTTAGAGTTCGCTAAGCGGCATCAGTTTCATTAAATGAACTTCGCTTGATTTGGGTTTGGGCTAAAAAAGAAACGGGAAAACATAACAGAATATGACATATGATCTCTGACAGTATGAACGGACGTCTACAAGCAGTTATAGCGGTCAATAGAGGCAATCAAAGTTTTATGATATTTTTTACATTTTTTTTTCTGTTTGTATACCTGTGATTATTAAGGGCCGTTTAGACTCCCAGTTAATTTCGCAAACTGGTTTGCACAAACCAAACTGCACCAATATTAAACGATTTTATAAAACTCACCTAATAATTAAATACAGATTCGATAAACAAAAATTGTACACCCTGGAAAATTAACTAAGACCGTGAGCATACGGGTCGTCTCAAACTCGAAGCGGGAGCGTCTCGAACTTGGAACGAATCTCCCTCCACTCCACTTCCTACGTATCGCACTACGTATATAATACTAGACGGTAGAATAAAGAATAAGACGTATATAATAGTAGAATGGTAGACGAACGGATCATTAGTGGTCGACGCGGAGTGGAAGTGATTGATATACTAAGTATTTATTTATATAGGAAGGTAGAGTGGAAGGAGATTCGCTCGGAGTTCGAGACGCTTCAGCTTCAAAAGCCAGACGACCCGTCCGACCGACAGCCTACTTATAAAATTATTTTTGTTTATACATTGCTCCTGCATAGTCCTAAAAACGCGGTCCAGACTCTAACGACTTATCGTACGATTTGCCTTCATCGACAAAAAGTGCATATAAAACCTAGCGTGTGGACAGCAAGTTTGAACAAATTTGAGAGCTGGCACAGTTAAAAATTTGAGCGTTGTTTGTTGTTTGTAACTTGCCTTTTTTTAAACTTTATTTAAAGAATTTGCAAAAACTAACGACAACAGTATTTCCTCTATGATGATATAACAGAATACAAAAGAAACGACAAGTTGTTATTTGTCGTTGTAACATGGACATAACTTGCGTCTGTACGTTTTATCTGCAACGTCTTGTCGACGCAAAAACATCGTACGGTAAGTCGTTACGTCTAGATCGCGCTTTAATGACTTTTTGGCTATTTTTCTTTTCAAAACAGAAAGCTTGAGCTTCTTTTTCGTTAGTATATTCTGTGACAGAAAGTACAAGTATCCCTTCCGCCCCTTCTTTTAACGCCATTGTCTTTAAATTTGATCAAATTGTACAATTTGGATACTCTGTATCATGTCTGTAGAAAATCAAAAAGACTTTAGCCTTAGACTTTAGCAATAAAGAGTCTGCAACCAGATAAACGCTATACCGCTAGATATAAAATATGCATAAATTACGTGTCCAATAAATCCAGTAATGTAAATGGCATGGCTATTTTTGTATTTCACGTTGGTGTACTTTCATGTGCTAATTATTTGTTTATAAAAAAAATCATTTATATTAAATCAAATTATTTAAAATATTTCCAAAATGTTTTGTATCAATTGACACAGAATATATACTGTAAAATACAGTATGGATCTCCTTTTTGGTATAGAATTAATATTGGTTTAGCTAATACGAATAACTTATTTGTTTAAGAATCAAATTATTATTTTTTTGAGCGAATTTAAGTTTAATTAGCAGATTCGGCAGCTATCAGAAAGTTAAAATTAAATGTGTATATTTGGTTGCCTATAGTAACAATTTTTAGTAAACGTCACAAAAATAACCACTTTTGCTGTCACAGCGTTGCCAGAATTGAAGAATTTTCTTCAATATGAAGAATTTTATAGTCAAATTTTGTCGACTGAAGGGCTGAAGGATTTTTATTCAAAAAGAAGGCAATATGAAGGTTTCTGGCAGTTTTGCACAATAAAAATTGTTAAAATATGTAGTAGGAGTATTCATTGTTTATTTCAGTACATCTATTTTTTTCACTTGAAAAGTGTTAAATTAAGGAGGATTAAGGATGCCTCAGTTTAAAGATTTGTTTCTGTCAAAAAGTCCGCAAATTCGTTCACGTACCAGCAGAGATACCATAAATAAACTGAACTAAATTTCTTGATGTTGAAAAGAAATAAATAGGGAAACGGAAAACTCTAATAAATATCGAAATATATCTATTAAGTCAGCTAATCATGGCGTATTGCACGATTAATAATTATTCTCGGTTCAAGAAGTCATTGTAATGTCAAGAGCAGTCTGTAAGATTGTAAGCAATGAATTACTTGAAATTTATAATTCTGTTTTCTGTTGTCGAGTATCTATCACAGCATTTTTGGCCGTGTTATTTTTTTAATACAATGTTTATTTACATTGGTGACCAAAAATAACCAGAAATAAGTTTTTAATTTTTTTTCCTAATTTTAAAATATGTAAATAGACGAAATTTCGCGATTTTTCACAAGATCTGGATTTTTTGTGAACTTAAAGGAATATGAAGGTTTTTTTAATTCTTAATCTAAGATTTTAAACATAGATTTTAAAGCTGCGTTGAAGGAATTCGCTCGAAAATTTCTGGCAACACTGGCTGTCAACTACTCAACCTTTAACACCACACGTTGATAACTTTTAAATGACCTTTTTAAAATAACTATTTATTTTTCTTTTTATAAACCCTCCCAGCGTTGTTAAAGAAAGATCCACGAAAATGCTTCCTGTGTGCGTCAGACAAGTTTGTAAGAAAACCGTTCCAGCAAAAGTGAGTAATTTTCTTATGTTCTGTCCATATTTTAGATTAAGCTGGGTTTATAGACTTATTAACCAAATAGGAAGTACAAAAAATAATAGAAAATAAGCTAAAGTGGATGCAGCATGGCTAAGAGAGTTTCTAAGTATTTAAATGTAATAAAATTTGCTTAGTTTTTTTAATATAGGATTACATAATAGTTTGAGGTTATATTAGGATATATTTAAGAAATTTAATTTATTGTTGTTTCAGAAAGCCCTAGGATTAATTTCCAAGAATGCATATACTACAGAAGCCTCTTTTGATACTGCGGTATGTATGTTCTAATCTTGTTCTAATCAATATCCAAATGATATCACTAAAAAATAAAATTTTATATCATGTAAGAGGGATGGTAATGCCTATTTTTATTTGAATATTTTTGCTATTTTGGGTATTTAAGTGCTAAATATATAATTCATTTCAGGGAAATAATATTTTTCTATGTTTAATTTTAGAATTATAAATTGCACAAACTGGAAGAGGGCCCTTCGACTCATGTAACCATTAACAAACAAGAAGCTTTAACCATATACACTCAGATGCACACTATTCGTCGTTTAGAAACATCAGCTGGTAATTTATATAAAGACAAAATTATTAGAGGATTTTGTCACCTTTATTCTGGTCAGGTATAGTATTATAACAATTTCAATTGAATATAATTTTATGAATACAATAATTCTCAGGAAGCTGTTGCTGTCGGTATTAAGCACGCTTTACGTCCTCATGATGGTGTTATTACTTCATACAGAGCTCACGGATGGACCTACATAATGGGCGTACCTTTAGTAAATGTTTTATCAGAACTAACAGGTAGACAAGGTGGATGTGCTAGAGGCAAAGGAGGATCTATGCACATGTACTGTGAAAACTTTTATGGTGGAAATGGTATTGTGGGAGCTCAGGTATTATACCTTTTATATACATAGTTTGATCAAATTATATTTCACTATATTTCTAATTAGCTTTATAGTAACATTTAAGACATTCTATTCAATTATTTACTGTTCTTTAATCACATGATAATAGTTTAGTCTGGAATAATTGTAATTATAAAACTTTTTCTGATGAACAGAATGTTTTCTGTTTACATTCTTTTATGTTTATCCTAGTGATAAAGAAAAAGACACTGACACTTGTATTTATGCCTCATTTCTATCTAATACAGTTTATCTTCTAGAATAAAAACAAGCTATTTTTATGTCCCCAGGATTGTCTTTACAAGAGGGAAAACTTTTTTATTATTGGCATTTTAAGAAAAAAGCATTCTTCATTCTTCACAAAAAATTTGTTTGTTTTAAAATAGTTAATCCCATTTATAGTTTTCCAAATGTCCATACCGATTTAGAGAAAATTTAAAAAAAAAAACATGAAAATGTTGTTGAATTTTTTTTAAGTTCTAAAAATCAAAACGCGTTTCTGTGGTAATATCATTTTGTTTTCATTCTTTGATAGAGTATTATCAATTATATTTTATTATAATTATAGAATTTTAATTAACGTCATTAACGTCAACGAACAATCAACAAGTCAGGGTGCATCCATGCATATTTTTATTTTGCACGACAATTTGACGTCACATATGTATCGTTGGTTGCATAAAACTCACTAAAAAAGACATCCAAATTCGATTTTATTTTAAAAAACAAAAGATTCACCACCAAAAAAGGCAAAAAAGGCTAACTAAAGCAACCAATACTCATTCGTGCAACTTTGTGTTGATAGACAGTCAATTTTTATAAGCAAGAGCCTCGGCTACTATCAAATATTCGCCACTGAACGTCAAACTGTCGTGCAAAATAAAATCATGCTGCATACATCCATCATACCATCCTAAAAAAAACGGAACAGCGTATCGGCGTAACGACCTTGAATAGATTTCCAGTAATTCTATTGGCTGAAATTTACAGATGAATTTTCGAAAATTTCAGCCAATAGAAGTGCTGGAAATCGATTCAAGGTCGTTACGCCGATACGCCGATCCTCTCTTTTTAGGATGGTGTATGCTTGCCACTAAAACTTATAATTGTTTTGAAGCGCATACGTTGTAGGGCGCTGCTATAACGGTTGCTAAGAACAATCGCCAAACAAGAACAGAAATAATTTTCTCTTGTCAAAGTCAAAATCCTTGTGTGAGTTTAATCACAAAACATCTTAGAACTTCATCTGTCATGTTAAGAAATTAAAGTAAATAAAAATGCGCCTCTCGTGTTTGTTCGCATACTAAAAATTTCAATTAATGTCTGTATATATTTTTAAAATATTTTTTAAATTTACATTTTTTTATTGACAAAAGAATTGCAGTTTTGTGGGTTCATAAATATGCGCCTCTCAGATTTTTGAAAAAATTCATGGCTTACTAGTAGTCTAATAGCAACGTTTTCGAGAAAGTATTTTAAGAAAGCTGGCTCTTTGAGATATCTGTTACTATGCTATCTGGAACCAGCATGCGGCATAAAATACTTTCTCGAAAACGTTGCTAGCTCTACTAGTAAGCCATGAACATTTAACCGACTCTCTATCTCCAGTAGTTTGCGAGATACCCATAGAGAACATCGTAGAAAACTCATCCTGTATGTATATTTGTCGTAGGTATGAAAAAAGTAAAATATAAAATGGACAAACGCTTACTTACATTGCAATAAAACTTCCACTTTTAGTTTTGCAATCCAAACGCCATATTTCTATTTCACAAATAAAAATATTCGACCGAAACTTAAAACCAAACCAAACCAAACACTAAAATCACTGAAACTTCTGCGGCTGACAACGAAAACTGAAAAATATAACAGCACTTCTTGTTTTGGACCTGCATATCAACATTACGCTGTACCATTATGTTTTTGTTTTTGAAATAATATAAAATATCTAATTATAACTTCTGAATTTTAATATTTTAACATGATTTTAACTATTTCTGACAATAACTAACTTTTTGTTATCAAGATGACATTTTAGACGACAACTGACATATATGTCATAAAATATTTTAATTTTAAATATGTATGCAATATAGGTAATTTAAATTATCTAATTATATAATGCAACTTTATACTAAGAAAACATTTATACATTCACAAAATACAACAAAGTCTAATAATATAGTTTAAAAACAATGAAAATTGAACTAAAATTAAAAAAGTTAAGCGCAACTCTTTGTGTCAAAATTTAGATGATTAAATTCAATTAAATTTTCGCAATTTTTACACTTTACACCATTTGATGACCAGTTTTCTACTCCCGTTTATTTCCATTACAGAAAAAGTTCTAAACGGGAATGTTTTGTGAGTTTAATTTAAATTTTATTTACTCAAAACCCGTGATAATTGTGAAAAAGTGGCATTAAAAATTAAAAACTTAAAAAGCTGTGTGAACTGCAAAAACCATCGCTGACGCCGTTTTTTCTCGATCATACGGTATTTCATACATGTCCTTATATAAAACACTCTATATTTTATTTATAAAATTCAAAGAAAATAATAAATTTGAATAAACAATATTTGGCGACATAATTCCGTAAAAAGCCGAACCGCTTCGAAATTATCAAAAGCTTTGGTGAGCGACCGTTGCAAGAATAGCGCCAAATAGTATTTACATTTTACATTGCCCTTATAGGTACTTTCCAATCTACACTTAAAAGTATAATTTTTGTAAGAAATGTATTTCTGTTTCTTTTTAATGTTTTTTTTGTAGTATTTGTTTTGTCGATATTAGACAAAGAAACGGGATTCGATTACAGGAAAGTTCACATATAGTTCTTCTGATATAAATATTCTCTATATGGCGAAACGCGATCTGCCAAAACAATGAAAATTGTTTATTTTTTTAATAAATACCGTATGATCGAATAAAAACGGCGTCAGCGATGGCTATGAAATGAAGATCGCTGGCATTTTGTATGTAAAATTATATGGGAAATGTTATTGATCTTCATTTCATAGCCATCGCTGACGCCGTTTTTATTCGATCATACATGCGATCATACAGTATAAGTTGTTATGGATTTAAATAATTGGACCATAGTTAAATCAAATTAATTAAAAGAAAATGTAATTTTAATTATTTGGACAGCTGATATTTCAATTTTCTAAATGGAGCAAAAATACTTTTTAACTAAAATCTTTTATTTTTGGGATGGCAGAAAAGTTAGGTCTGTCCAGTCCTTTGAATAAGAAGACTAAGGAAGGAGCATAATGCTATCCATGTATTCATGCATGGTGGGCGGAAAAGCCACCATAAAAGCTCTCTAGGGTGGGGATCCTTGACAGTTCTGTTTGACGATTCATTTGACACATTTGAATTTGATTTGAAATTTTGTTGATTTGTCAGTCTTTACGGAGCTTATTTTATGTTATTTATTATTTATTCTACTACTGATAGTTGTATAAAGGCAGTAAATCTAGATGGAAATTGTGGCAGAACTTAAATTAACAGTGACACTATCGCGATTTATCGAAAAAGACTCTAAAATAGTTGGTTGTGTAGCGTGCGGTAGATCTCGGCAAAAATTGAGTGAAATAATGGAACTTTTCGCTAGTAAGTGACTATATAATATACATACGTGTAGTAAACCGATCATTTATGAAATTCACTTAAATTAACTAAATTATTTATTTTTCTTGCATTTTAGCTTTTATTTATTACTTGTCAAAGATTAGATGTCAAAGAATTTAGATACGTTAATTTGACTTACCTGCTTCAGTAGCGTATCGGATGTTTGTGTTAATAAATACTTATTATAACTTATCTATTTTTATTAGAATTATATATTTTTATAACAATTTTAATAACTACCAACATTTATTCACAACGTAAAATAAAACAACAAATTATTGAGTCTACCCCACGCCTACCCTACATCATAGTTTAACATTTTTTAAATAAAATTAGAACGACACTGATAAACCGGAATTTAAGTCGGCCATATTTGAGGCCCATCGCGGTGTACCTAAGATTTTTGATATGCTCCTTCCTTAGTCTTCTTATTCAAAGGTCCAGTCTGTTAGTCAGGGAAGATTTTAATGAAAACCCTCAAAAAATGACAAACTGCATTTCACTTTTGAATTAAGATGACAGAAAACTCATGTATTCTCTCTTTGAATGATTTTACCAATTAATTTATATTTTTATTAGGCGCCATTGGGAGCTGGAATTGCTCTGGCAGCCAAGTACAAAGGAACTGATGGAGTGTGCTTCACATTATATGGAGATGGTGCCGCCAATCAAGGTCAACTTTTTGAAGCATTTAACATCACAAAACTGCTAGACACTCCTTGTATTTTTGTATGTGAAAATAATGGCTATGGTAAGTTCATCATTTGATTCACGTTATTAAAATAATTCAGTTTGTTGAAAATATATTACTTCATTAGGTATGGGTACAAGTACTGAGAGAGCTGCAGCAAGTACAGATTTTTATTCTAGAGGTGATTATGTTCCTGGTATTTGGGTAGATGGTATGGATGTTTTGGCTGTCAGACAAGCCGCTAAATATGCTGTGAACTACTGTGCTAGTGGAAAAGGGCCTATTGTTCTTGAAGTTGTCACATACAGGTGATATAACAAAAAAAAAACAACAAATATAAATAACATCGCTAACTTTAAATTTTCATTTGCAGATATTCTGGCCACTCTATGTCTGACCCTGGTACAAGTTACAGAACGCGCGAAGAGGTTCAAGAAGTTCGTCACAGTAGGGATCCTATTACTTCCTTCAAAGAAAAAATCCTATCCAGGAATTTAGTTACCCCTGAAGAAATTAAAGTATGTCGTTGTATTCAGTAATGTTATACCATAGTAGAAGGAAAAGAGTAGTTGCACTCTCCCAAATATTTTCTGCCAGTTTTTACAATCTGTCGAATATCGGCAATCTGTCCGTCGACCTGCGAGGTTCGAGCGTTGCATCCCAGCACAGAGACGGATTGACAAAAAAATGAGAGCCTTACTGTGTGCTGCTATTGGTAATAATTTGCTAGTACCGAAAAAAACTGGAATTCCTTAGAGGCATGGTACCGAAATAACGGGTTCCGAAAACCAGCTCCGGTTCCGGAAACGCTATAACGTACCATAACCGTGAATCCCCCTATACGGGGTGAGTCTTAAATAAGTGCAAATATTTTTAGGGGTAGTATATTTTGGCCCCAGAAATATGAGGATTTTAGTGCGCAATTTTTTTTTGAATAAAAATTTGGAAATTTGTTTAGTTTTTAGTTAAAAAACATAATTTCTTGATAATATGGTAACTAGGGTTCAGAACCGGAAATTCCCAAAGAACCGGGACTCGAAATTATTAATTCCCGGTTCTTTCGGTACCTTCGGGACTCGGCAAGCAAATTTTTACTCGATGATCAATTTTTTTTTTATTTTATTTTATTGTGAACTCATATTTTCCTAAATACATCTCTGTGAAACTATGGCGAGTGCCACGACTATACTTTGCCTAGTTATACCATGACTATACAGCTACGTCAGTGGTCAAGAGACGCGAGAACAAGCTCACAATATAGTGGCAGAAAAAAAACAAAAGATTTGACCAGGACTAAAGCTACTAGTTTCCTTATACTATGGTTATACAATATGACAGAAAACCAACCGCGATGGCTATAAAATGAAGATCGCTGTCATTTTACATGTAAAATTATATGGGGAATGTTATCGATCTTCATTCCTAAGCCAACTGGACGCCGTTTTTTTCAATCACACGGTATTTTAACGGTATTAATTCATATTTTTTAGGAAATTGAGAGTAAAATTAGAGCCGAAGTCGATGACGCTACAAAGAAGGCCAAAGCCGACAAAGAAATAGGAATGGATGAAATCGCAGGCGATATTTATTGTAACAACTTGGAACATCCTATTAGAGGCGTATCTATATTCCAAAACTTCACACACAAAAGGATCGGACCTGCAGTCAATCATAACTAAAACAAAATAGGAAATATTTTGAATGGAAACTAATTCGAAACAAACGTGAAAAACACCTTTTAAACGACCTGCAACTTTGTAAATATTTTTTGTTGATATTTATTTTAGTAAGGAAAAATCAGTTCTAGAAATATCATTCCTAATTTTGTATCTCAGGTTATATTACTTTGCAATATTTTTCATAATTGCATAACTTGTTTATTCATGCATTAAGTTGTTAAGTGTCAAATTATAATTTTATTTTTGTTTATTATATTTTAATTGTTTATAAAATAAAAACATTATTCATTGAAACTTTGTATTACCGGTTTTTAGCCGACCATACCAATAGGTACGGTAGGCTATTAGGATCGGCAAAAAAAAAGTTTTTTTAATTTCACTCAAAATGTGTTATTTGGGTCATAAATGACCTAAATACAAAATATTTTCGTGGTGTCTGTCTGCCGTCTGTAACACGATAACTCAAAAACCGCTGAATCGATTTTAACCAAATTTGGCACAAAAATACTGTGGCACCCGAGAATCTGGCCATTAGTTTTTGGTGGGGGTGGGGAGTTGGTAAGGGGGTATAGGAGGGGGTTAAAAATTTAAATAAATCGTAACTTCAAAATTACAGTAGCTCGCGAAACGCGGTTTTCAAATTAAGATTAGTAATAATATTTGCAACAAAATTTGTAATAACATCAAAATCAGTCAAAGTCGCAGTTTTCGAGATATTAACATATTTTAGTATGGGCGGCTATACGTGCCTCCCGGCGCCAATTTTTTTATGTAAATTATTGTACAAAAATGTACACGAAAAAGAAACTTAGGTATATATTTTTTTTGAAATTGAGTAATATATACAATGGTACATAAACGCTAAGTAATGTTAGAATTTTCACTTTGGTAATCTAAAATTTACAATTAAATCACATATTGTTTTGTGTTTACTTAACCAACAATAATTTAGTAACTAGTCTTTATTGCTACTACTTTCCCTTAAATTTAAGTTTTTATTAAGTTCCAGTTCTTTAGACGTCTTCTGATTTTTCTTCTTCTCAGATTTTCTAGGTAAAATACCTCGAGCATATTTGATGCTTCTTCTTGTAACTGGATCTAAATCACCTAAAACAATATAAAATATTAATATAAGACATGTACGGGGTTTGTCAAAAAGTTATATTTACGTTATATACGGCGTCCATTTTGCTGGTAAATGACGATCGATGACACTTCCCATATAAAGTGACATTGATCGTCATTTCGTAGCCATCGCTGACGCCGTTTTTTTTTTCGATCATATTGTACTTATAAATTAGTAGTGGGAACTATCGAATGAATACTATCGAAACATTCGATAGTTGCAATTCATTCGAATAATTCGATAGCTAGTAAGAAAACATTCGTCGAAAACTATTCGAATAAAAATTATCGAATAGATGCGTCATCTGCCTTGAAATATTGTATTCTAGTAATTCGGCAGCAAAAACCATTTATTTATAAAATTCATTCATTTATCAAATTCATTTATTCATCAGGATTGATTTTAATGAAATATAAACTGGATTTTAGTTGTCGTCCGGCGACGTAGGTTCCTCCTAGAAACCCGACAGCGGTCGGTGGCAATGCTATGAAAGAAGCCGGCATCTTTGATTTTTTACGGAGTCAAATAAAGATAAGGACACATTATTTTTTTTATTGAGGTGCTAGTATTTACACAGAAAATACATTATGAAGGGCGCTGTTGCCATATATTCGTATTAGTTGGTATTAGCAAAGAATATTATTCTTTAGGATTAGTTAGTTAGGGATAGTATGTCTAATGTTTTGCATTTTTTTTATTAATATTCTGTTATTACACTGCAATAATACTTTTTATTTTGGATGTAGGAAAATGATTTTTAATGTTTTTAAGCAAAGACTGGTTTAATAAATAATAATAACAGTAATAATTTGTTATACCTATTAACAACAAAATTTAAAATCATTTAATAATATAAACATTTTGTTTAAGTAGTAGCAAAATATAAACAACAAATAGAAGTCAAAAGTATTTATATTAGATCCTATTTAAAAATAATATGGTCTCTAAATGGCAACGTTGGTTTATTAAATAATAATAGTTACAGAACTAATTTGTTATATTAACAACAAATTTTAAAATCATGAAATATAAACATTTATTAATTTTCGAAGCATGCAGTGTAATGGAAGGAAGATATAAATAAAAAATTAGAAATCAAAATTATTTATATTACTTTTTATTACTTTATATTACTATTTAAAAATAATATTTACTTTTACTGGCATTTACTTTAAAAAATAAATGAAATATTTCTTCGCAAAAAACTACATGTAAGAGAATTAGCATAAACAAAATACAAACATTGTTAACTTTTTTTTTAAATTGGCACGTGTAAAACTTTCAATTTAATTTTCTCATCCCAAAATTTGAGTTCAATAACCCCCCATTTACTTAACCACATTACTTAAATATGATTATTAAGTTCAACTAATTCATATTATTAAAACATCCAAAATACAAATATGTATTTTTAAAATTAATTGTAAATTCATCTCATCTCTCTTAAAAATTGTTTTTCCCTCCAAAATTTCCCATTAAAAAAATGCAATCTAATCTAACCATAATATACCATATAAAATTAAATAATTGAAACATCGGGCTACGGAAAATCACACAAATTTTCGGAAAAATTTTGACCACTTCGCACACAATCGTCAATTAAAAAAAACTACTATTTTAGTATTTTAAATATTTTAATAAACGCAAAAATAGCATAGTATTTACAAGGCGAAGTTATAAAAATTTGGAAGAACTAATAATGCACTGACGCACACAAAAATCAAACGAATACTAAATTTCATTTATCAAAAACATTTGATAGTCATGGCTCGTGGCGCAACGATAACCATTTAGTCGCACGGCGAGGTTGTCACTTATGCTTTAGTATACAAATGAATGAATGATTTTATTCGAATAAAACCATTCGATAGTTGAAATCATTCATTCAGTAACCATTCGATAGTCTAATTCATTCGATAGTTCCCATCGCTATTATAAATTAATATACTACAGTAAAACGCTACTTACCATTACCAAGATTTTCCAACCACTGGTCCATTTCTGATATCACTTTCCAATCTTCTGTCTCATATTTGTTCAGTCCGCAACATATATTTGCAAGTAATATTAATATCGTTCCTTTTAAATTTACATTTGAATCAGGTATTTGATCGAACAACGGAAGAAGACTATCTTTTATCTTTTGGTGAACCCATCCTGTCGGTTTATTTTTAAGAAATACTAGCAAAGTAAAGTCAGATAACCTTTTGGAGGGACATCCTAAAAGAATATAAAAATTATGAAGCGGATTGAAGAAATAATGGAAAAATCAATATAATGCTTACTGATATATTCTACTAGTATATCTCGAAAAATGTCTTCACAACTATATCGCTCACGAGGATATCCAAAATATTTCTGTAATAAGTCCTTCAATGGGGCAAAATTGTACCCCGGTTCATTCAAACCTTTTAAATAGCAAAGCTGAACTATTACTTTAGCTATAAGATTGTGATCTAGAAACAAAATAAGACTTTATTTATTATTAAATTTTTCATAACATAGACAGCAAAATTGCCCAACTATAATCAAACAATACTACACTGATTTATTTAAATTTATGTAAAAGTTTTATTATACAGCGAGAAAATATCTTAGATTAAGAATAAAAATATATATTGTCAAGGTGTATTACTGGTTGCATAACTGCATACTGCTAAAAAATCGCAACGTGCATTGAGGAACCTGGCGCATCCGCCAGAAAGTAAAGAAAATTATAGAATTCTTTAGAAAAATCTAGAAACAACCGCCAGGGGGTATATAAGGCCCGCGCTTTGACAGTTGGACAAGTTTGAAGTTTGAAGCCCGAAGTTTGAAGTCTAAAGTCTGAAGATAGTCTGAAGTTTGATAATACCGCGAAATACCGTTAGAGTAATAGTAGTTGCATAAGTTGTGTTGTAAATAGTATAAGTTGTGTGTACAGAGTGAAACAAATAAATTCGTTAAGTATTTTATCGTGAGTTTAAATAGTGGACCCACGGAATCCGTAACAATTGGTGTCGGAAGTGCGATTCAAGAGGATTTTAAGAAGAAATTAAGTGGATTGGACGATTTTTACACCGAATTTGGGAATTTTTATGGTTGGTACGAGACAGCAAGCGAAGAAAATGGAGGAAGTAAGCAAACTATTGGGCGATTTTATGGAGAATATGAGAAGAGAGAAAGCTGAAGAACAAGAAAGACTACGTAAAGATAAAGAAGAGGAAAAATTACAACGACAACAAGAAAAACAAGAAGAACAGGACCGGCTTGAAAAAATTTTCCAAGATTTGAAAATTCAACAACAAGACAAAGAAGAAGAACAGGACCGGCTTGAGAAAATTTTAGGCAATTTAGAAATTCGTCAGAAGAATGAATGGAGGGAAATTTTAGAAGATATAGAAACGCGCCGCCAGAAAGAAAGACAAGAAGATCAGGACCGTCTTAAGAAAACTTTAGAAAATCAAGAAATTCGACTTCAGAAAAGCTTGGGGGAACAGCAACAAGCAATGTTGGAAGTACGTTGCCAGGAACAGCAGAACCACTTCCAAGAAGCCGTAGAAGATCTTGAGGAACGCCTTCAGCAGAAGATAGAAAGATTGGAGATGGACCTACAGAAGACCAAGGCACAAGTAAGAACATCTGGCGTTCAAGGAACTGCGAACCTTAAGGCCCCAACCTACAATGGACAAACCACCTGGACTATGTACCACCGCCAGTTTGAAGCAGCCGCCGCTGCCAACGGATGGACCGACCAGGAGAAAGCAGCGGCACTTGTCATCGCGCTGCATCGAAGATTTTATTTGGTCGAGAATTACGGTTGCCTTGTGACTTGGTGTTCGGATCACCAGACGACAGCACCACGAACGTAGAGGACTACGTGGATGAACTGAAGGAAAGGTTATTGGGAATTCATAAGGCCGTGAGAAGTAAGATTACGCTAGCCAGTGACCGGATGAAAGCTCGTTACGACCTCAGAGCTCGGGATTTCAACAAGACGATAGGGTATGGTTGTATAACCCACAGCGCAAGAAAGGAAGGTCCCCAAAGTTAACTCCAGCATGGGAAGGTCCTTATACAGTCATCAAGAGGATAAATGATGTTGTGTACCGGATTCAACGCAGCCCTAGAAGTAAGATGAAAGTAGTTCATCTGGATCGATTGAAGAGATACCAGACAGGAAACCTTGATCGGGACGATCAAATTTGAGAAGGGGGCAATGTCAAGGTGTATTACTGGTTGCATAACTGCATAGTGCTAAAATCGCAACGTGCATTGAGGAACCTGGCGCATCCGCCAGAAAGTAAAGAAAATTATAGAATTCTTTAGAAAAATCTAGAAACAACCGCCAGGGGGTATATAAGGCCCGCGCTTTGACAGTCGGACAAGTTTGAAGTTTGAAGTCCGAAGTTTGAAGTTTGAAGTCTAAAGTCTGAAGATAGTCTGAAGTTTGATAATACCGCGAAATACCGTTAGAGTAATAGTAGTTGCATAAGTTGTGTTGTAAATAGTATAAGTTGTGTGTACAGAGTGAAACAAATAAATTCGTTAAGTATTTTATCGTGAGTTTAAATAGTGGACCCACGGAATCCGTAACAATATGTACTTATACCGGCTGTTTTTGGTAGATCTCTATAAAAGAAATAAATTTTCTCTTAACGGGTTTTCAAATAAATCCAAAATAGCCGAGTTAAATTGAAAATTTAAAAAAAAGTTTTTATATTTTTTTCTTAAATATTAAGAACCACTGTTATTTTTATTTACCACTGTTTCTGTTCCTCTAAATTTAATCTACTACCTATGTTGCCATATTATAAAGATACCGTATGATCGAGAAAAAACGGCGTCAGCGATGGCTATGAAATGAAGATCGCTGTCAATGTATATGTAAATTTATCAATATATATCAATATTATAAATTTTTTAATCGGTCGTCATTTTCCAGCCAACTGGACGCCATTTTTTTTCGATCATTCGGTATTATATTTTTTAACTGAAAACGGAAAAAATCGAAAAAATACCAAATTTTCAACACTTCTTTTTCACGGAAAAAAATCTCATGCGCGTTTCTGGCGTCAAAATATACCACCTCTAAAAATGCCTGTGTAATTCTAACAAAAAAAGAAAGTAAAAATCGAGCTATAATACCAATATCTACTGAAAAGAAAATTGGCACGCAAATGTAAAATCTAATTCTAACCAACTTTTTCCTTTGGTAGTTTGGTGCTTTTCGATATCATCTCATCTAATCCCACTTTTTACGTGTTTAAAGGACATTTTTAGTGAGTAGTTGTTATATGATAAATAATATGTCAAAAATTACTTTTTGATACTGGTTTGTATGTTTAAATAAAAAAATCCCATTTGTTATGAACTTTATAGAACGTTATAATAGTTGACTACCTACATAATATACAAAGTAATTATAATATTGATGTCCAACATAACTCAAAGGGAAATAACTAGTTTTTAAAAGTTATGTATAGTCTGTCCAACAAGAGAATATTTGAAAGTGATTTGTAACTTATAACTATGGAGTCACGGTTGATAGATTTATATTGGAGTGTAGAGATAAGGGGAAAGTATTAACTCTCTTCATTTAGAGTTACTGGATCGGAAAAAATTCTGTTCCCGTCGCGTCCGCTATTTAAACGTAACCTAACTTTGAATTTAAAACTTTGAAATTATTTTGTTTACTAGGTATTTTAAAACTAAAAGGCTAAAGTGCTTATTTCCAGTGCTTTATTGTTCAACGTCTGCCAGTGGGTTGAGGGCAACAAGCAACAAATTCTCTTAGAAGTCGTCATCTGCTGTAAACCTAAGCCTCTTTATAGGTTTCATAATATTGGAAGAGGTGGAATCCATATTTTGGGCCATATTTATTTAATTAAAACTAATCCCAGCTACTTAAATATCAAATTACCTAATAAAACTAAAGTAATAATTCAAAACAATTCAAACATAACCTAAAATAAAAGATCTCGCCGGCCGGCCCCGGTTGTCAAATACCGGCACATGCCCATTTAAGCAATTTTTAAACGTTATTTAGAAATAGCGCTTGGTGTAATTTATCCGCAAATTACGTCAGGCGGTAACGTTATTAGCGGGTGTTGCGTTAAAAATTGACTCGCGGATATCGTAACCATGAAAAGGTACGCGTAAATACTGCATTACGCTATTCGGTTTTCCGATATCTCTCTAATAACTGTGCCGGTCAGGCGCTGTGCACATTTTTAGAGGCCATAAGTGGGCGTGCTACGTGCGCAAACTAGCAACCTAACTAGTGCCCGATTCCGAAAATTGGAACCACGAAAAACAATAATGAAAAAACAAAATTTATAATCTGTATAATCTGTGCCTGTACCCTTCATACTTATAATTCAAAAGTAATTTTTTTCTATCAATTTCTCGTCTGTCGAAACGGCCCCTCCTCTCGCTGGATATACTTTAGTTTAGCTAACTATTTAAAACAGAAATCTTGTAAATTTGATAATATTTAACTTAAAACAGCTACAATTTGATTAATAAACGCTTCAGAAAAATAGTTAAAATTTACACAAACACAATAAGATATTTTTCAATAATAAAATAAAACCTAGTACCTGACACTTCAGACTCCATCGGTAAAACTTCTGCCCATATTGTCAATACTGTGAAAAGAATTGGCGGACCAAGATTTCCCATAAAATAAAATCCTTCACAAATGAACCTCCTCATTCTATTGATATCCTTTTTTAGTTTGCATATGGCGGTATATAAGCGGGCTATGGGTTGAACAATTTCAATACTAGAACGGTTTCTATTAAAAAGCATCTCTTCAGCGCCATCAAGGAACTGAATTAATATACCAGGATGAGTTGTTTTGTCCAACTTGGTCAAAAACCCTAATAAATAAAAAAGGCAATGAAATAAAAAAGAAAACATTAAAAAGATATAATGAACAAGAATAAAACTACTTCAAATGCTTCAGATTATTTCGATAGTCTTGTTTAAATGAATAATATGATACTAAAGACAATTACAATTTTTACATATTTATTCTGTTATGTTATACCCACTTTATGCACTAAATTCTAAGCGCTCTTTTACATAATTTCGAGTAGGTAACTTAAAACATGAATATTTCGACAATATACACTTTGATGCAAAAAAAACGGAAAAATTTTTCGTCAAGTTTAAAGTGTTATATATTTTTTTTTATTTTTAGCCCTTTTTCCTTGATTTTTTTAGCAAACTCTATATAAATATATCAACTTTAATTCGTAAACTCTTAGGTTATTTCAACTTTAGTATTTGACTTATTATACAGGGTAATGAAGTTCTTTTTTTCCCTACCTTTAAAACACCCTGGTACAGTAATTTCGTGAGCAAATTTTCCTAAAACATTATTTTTCGGCCAAAGTCATGTCTCATGAATATTTTGTTTTTTGACTTGCAAGACCAACACATGCCTTGGTTAATGTTTAAGAGCAAAATGGAATCTACCACAAGCACTTTGCAATTTTTTCCATTATCGTTACTTTTTGATGTTATTCTTCATAATGACGAGGTGGCTTTGATGACTATTGTTGTGTACGATTGAATAGAGTTCTTAGTGTTGAAGATTGTGCAAAATGCATTGGATCTTGTTGAAGATAGCCGGAATTATGAATATTCGCTTGGTCCTTGAAGAAGAATGGGAAAACATAACATAATATATTTGCAGCCTCATTGGCAGTATGAACCAACGTCTACGGACAGTTATAGCAGCCGAGAGGCGTATTTCCATAATATACCATGTAGAGAGCATAAGGTCTCTAAGCCCCGTCCCCAAGCTTAGTTCAACAGTGAAGATGTCTCTGACGCGGTATAAAATGGAATTGGGAAATGCGCCAAAATCGGGTATAATTCGTGTCGCATTACTGGCGTAACTTTTGATAGTATTAACAGTAATTTTCATTTACGTAAAATAGTATATATCTGTTCTTTATCATTAAATTAAAAACATAACTACAAATATAAAACAAAATATCAACAAAAACAACATTTTATTTATTAAATAATGTATAGTACCTATATTAATTTCTTTAAAATATAAGACACTTAAAGAAAAATAATAATAATAAACATTGCTATTTCCTGATGAACTGCAATGCTTAGTCTTAATTACAAGTAATAAAATAGTAATGTCTTTTGGCATTTGGGGTATTTTCGGTAATATTTTTGCTCAAGCACCATTTTTTCTTTTTTAGTCTGTTCTCTTCTGAAGGCTTTCCTGATGTGCCTTTTTTGAGAGCGCGAACCACAAGTTCTTCTGGATAAAGCTCTTGGTTGTACTTTAATACACTTGGTTTTTTTACAGTTTATTGTGATATTTGTAGAATTGTTTTTAACTGCCGCTCTGTATCAATATTTAATGATGTGACTATATTATTAAAGCGTGTTAATATTTCTAGCATCTGATTACTTTTCTATTTCTGTGTTAAACTTAGTATTTTTTCCATATTTGTTTTCTATAAAACATGCTGAGCTTCAAAACTCTTTTCTCTAAATCTTTTTTAACATAATCTCTAACACACTGTTTCCTGATGCACCTAATGCTTGTTTACAATTTGCGGTCGCAAACTGGCTAATTCAACGCAAAATACAAGAAGTGACTAAGAATTCACACGTGGTTTATATCACGTTGTAACGCTGAGAAGTCTACTCCATACTATACTGCATTTGCCGCCATTATCCTATTCCATTCTATACCGCGTTAGAGACATTTTCAATATGTCTTCAGTGCTGAAATAAGCTTGAGGGCGGGGCTTGGAGACCCTATGCTCTCTACATGGTATATTATGGAAATACGCAGCCGGGGGGGCTATACAAAATATTAGAGTATTTTTACAAGTTTCTTGTTTGTTTGTACCCTTAGTTATTACAGTTATGTTCTGTAATATCCTTGTTAGTTTTATTAGTGCCACTAATATTTTTTATTAAAACGAAGCCTACATCGTTACTTTTTAACGTTTTTTCAAATCTTAATAGGGCGTTTTCGTTGCTTTAAAAAAATTCAACGGTACGGTTAACGGATACGTAACCATAACCGCTATTTTGACAGATAAAAAAACATTTTTCGGACTTTCGGTTCATCGGTTCGGAGCCGACATACGATACGATAACCGAAAACTGACAGCTAAGCACAGCCCGTAGCGTAGTGTTTTGATTTTGGGTTTTTGTATTGTTGTTTGATTTGAAAGTGCTTTATATGACTTTATTGGGTATCGCTATATAGGATGGACAATTTAATTTTATTGGACTCGGATTTGGAGGATGCTATGCTGTTGGAAGGGTTTGAAAACAACATCGAATATCGAGCAGACTTTATGGGGAGTTCAACCTAGAAATATTATCTGACCAAGAGTGCAAAGCTAACTTCTGCTTTGAAAAAAAAGACATTCCTCGATTAGTTGAAGCACTAAGAATTCCCAACGAGTTTAATACAGATAAAATAAATAATCAAAACATAAACAAAATAGAATGATGTTAGGTTAGATCTGTATTCTTCAATGTTGTGTTTCTACAGCGCTAGTGCGCATGCGTACCGCTATGTTAACGGCTTTGGCTAACGTCCGTAAAATATCGGCAGCTAGCGGTTACGATATACGATAATCGAAATTGAAATGTCAAAGTTGTCAATTAGCGTTAACCGGCATTGCAATTTGTAAGCAACGAAAACTCCCTAATATAAGCCACCACGTGGTATTAAAAAATAACATCATAAAATAATGATAGTTGAAAAAATTGCAAATTGTTGGTGGCAAGTTCATTTTGCTCTAAAAAATTAACCAAGCATGTGTTGATATGAGTAAAAAAACAAAATGCTCAGGAGACATGGTTCTACTAAAAAAAATAATGTTTTTTCACTAAAAGTTTTTTATTACACAGGGTGTTTTAAAGTTAGGATAAAAAACAACCCTTCAATTAACCCTGTATAATCAGCCAAATACTAAAGTTTATAAATAAAGTATATGAGTATATTATAGAATAAAAGTTGATAGATTTATATAGTTTGCTAAAAAAATCATGAAAATAGGGCTAAAAATAAAACACTTTAAACTTGACCAAAAAAAAATCCGTTGCGTTTTTTTGCTTATCAGTGTATTTTGCGATATTATAGATTATATAATTCTTAAATGTATATCAAATAAAAAATAATTTAAAAAAATAGAAAATATGTAAGTGTAAGTCAAGTTCAGCCATTTCAGTGTTTAATTTGTAACTGACAAGACATAGATTGACCACCTACGTATATCTAAGCCATTTGAAAGAAGCCTTAGATCATACATATAATTTTTTCTGTCATACCTAACATTATACGTTGAGTAGGTGTCATAGCTGGACTTGGGGGATACAAATTATCAGCTTTGTCATGGTAATCCGTTGATAATTTACTTAATACTATCCTGAAAGTTAAAATATAAAATGTCATTGAACATAAATAATGTTTAAACCTTTCAGAGCTCATTGAAATTAAATCCGGGTTCTATTCCATTTTTCTCTACAAATAGTTACTATATATTTTCTTTAAATCTTAAATGCTTTAAGCCCCGTCTACCCAGAATCTGTCAGTCTTACCCGTTTAGTCAAAACATTGAGGTAAAACATTGTGTGTAGACGAAAAAAACGGACCGTTTTAAGGCAAATTTTAATGCAGCCGACATCCGACGATACGGTATCTATTAATTTTGTTGGTTAAATTTAAATACTTTGATTTGTTAGAATATTCGGTAGTTTTTAAATCTATCGCATGCTCATGTCTCCGTTTATCTGGTATGCGACCGTACATGCGGCAGTCGGCGATTTCCGAGCGCTCGTAATCGGACTTCACCTTTCCGTCCACACATGCGAGCATCGCCGAGCTCTGATAGTCACAACATAGAGACGAGCGCTCGTTCTCGTCGCCGAATTCAAACTTCCCCGTTCACACTAATCGGCGATCGGCGACGAGCGTTCGGACATCGGCATGCCGCAACCGCACATGCGGCATTTGGCGATATCCGATCAAGGCTTCGCCGATTACCTATGTGTGGGGAAGTCGGAGTTCCGCTCGTCTCTATGTTGTTGCTATCAGAGCCTGCATGTGTGGATGGAAAGGCGAAGTCCGATCACGAGCGCTCGGAGTTCGCTAAATGCCGCATGTGCGGTTGCGGCATAATACGAATAGTTTGTAAATGTAATTGTTCAAATTGAGTTGACTGGTTTTTGCACCAAATCCTTCATTTTTTTCCTCTCTTTAAAATGTAAAAATGATGTAAACTTACAAAAAATTATATGGATATAGACCATCTTTAATAAGCTATTTTTAAAAATATAATATTTTTGCAGTGTTACAAAATAATCTAATTTTTTATTATTTATATCTCTAAACACAATTCTTTAGAGATGACTATTACCAAACAAATAATGATAATGACTATTACCAAACAAATATTATTTTCACAATTGACTTTATACACTTTAAATATACACTTTTGTTGTAAAATTCCATGTTATTTTTTTCGACGGGGTTAAGTTTCGTTTTATTAAGACGGATTTTCTTTTCAAACGTCAAAAAAACATTAATTTGATTGACAATATAAAAAAGTTATTTTAACGCCTGGGTTGGCCTAGGTATCTTTTACGCCTAAGCATAAAAGTAAGAAAATATATTATTAAACTGGCATAGTTTTAACTCTGTCAGTTTAATGTTACTAACCATAGTTTCTCTATAAATAATTACTTACAAAGTATTACTTTTAATTTTTTTTATATTATTTGAGACGTTTAAAATTGTTTAAATAGTATATTATTTTATTAGATACAAAAATGATACTTTTTGTGGCGAGACTGTAAGTTTGACATTACAGCGACATACAAAAAGTCGTTTTTACTCCGAATAGAACATGCTATTTCTTTTCAAACGTCATAAATATTTTTTAAACAATTTTAAACGTTCCGAATAATATAAAAATATTTAAAAGTAATACCTTGTAAGTAATTATATATCGAGAAACTATTGTTACGCTTGTTGAATTTGACACTTTATGTCAGTTTAATAATATATTTTCGTACTTTCAATCTTATGCGTTAAAATGACTTGTTTATATTGTCAATCACGTCGCAAAAATTAATACTTTTGTGACGTTTGAAAACTGTTTCTATTCGGAGTAAAATTACTTTTTGTGCCTCGCCCGTAATGTCAAACGTACCAAAATTTGTGGCCTCGCCACAAAAAAGTATAATTTTTAATCCTAATAAAACAATATACTATTTTTGTTATAGAAAAAGAAAACTGTAAATCCAGTAACTATATTACTCCACTATTACCCTAAAGAAAACTACATATTTTAAAAACTAAATGGTTCTAAAAAGATATAAAATAAATACTTACTCTACTAAATATTTTACATCTTGATAAGCAAATTCAAGGGCAATTTCATTGAGTATTTTCTCCTCATTGGAAAAGAACATTAGCTTATCAATGAGTATTTTAACTTTACCTGAAAATATTTTTTTATAAAATTTCAATTTTACATTCTTTGTAATACTTACTAGGCGGTAATTGTAATGGCTTATTTATAGGTATTAATTTCGGTGTCTGACTGGAAGGAACTTCCATTATATCAGGCGATTTTGGACAATCTGGAATTTCCTCAATTTCTGTTTCGTTTTTTTCTGGTTGTGCCTCGATTCTTGTATCCATTCGCACTTCGGATTTCAAATTATCTGGTGATGAAGACGTGGTTTCATTCTGTGACTTGCAATTGTTCTTCCTCATATCTTGCATAACTCTGGTCAAAATGTCATCAGGCGTGTTGTTGCTACTCAGTTTTGACTCAATTTTTTTTTTCTTGGTGCTGAAACTTGACAATTCAACACCTCCAACTTCTACATCAGCATTGATTATCTTTGAAGGCTTTTTTAAACATGATACTTCATTGATATCACATTCAGAATTTGATTGTCTATTTATAACTTTACCACTTGAAATTAAAATATTTTGAATAATATTAATTTTTTTATTAGAATCCATATTTTTCTTAGCTCTCTCGTAATTAGCTGAAGATTTAGTTTTATTAATAGCTGCATTACATTTACTTTGTAAATATGGAATGCCTCTAATGTTGTTCAATATTTTCCTTTTTAAATTGGGTTTTATTTTTCCTTTTGCAATTTTCTGAGTACTCTGAATTTCTTTGTGCTCAGAACCTTCGCTGTCGCTACTGTCGGATATATCTTCTCCAAAAAGATCCTTCTTTGACAAAATCTTTTTGGTGCTTAAGCTATTATCACAAATATTACCTAAACTACTTTTATATTCATAATTACAATCATTATAACTATTCAAAGCCATATTGGAGTTAGATATCTGAACTATATTTAATTTAGTGCCAGTTTTAGATGCATTGTCATATTCTGATAAATTACTTTTACATATTACATTCTGATTCTCCTCTTCCCCTAGTAGGTCATTTCTGATTTCCCTTTTCCCTATTTCAAATCTTGTGTTTCCATGAATACCTTTCAAACCACTAGAATCACCTTTTCCTATGATATTATTTTCATATCTTAAGCTACTATCACAATTATTCAATACATTTCCATCTTTGCAATCATCTATTTGTACTTCCTTAAATGTATTATCAATTCTATGATCCTCACTCTCTGTAATATTATTATAGATTATGTTTTGAGAATCATGTAGTACAACAGTTGAAACATCACTGTTGATACTATTAATTGGAATGGTGGTGGGCAAATTATTTTGTTCCTTTTCAGTATCAGGCATTGTATCAGATATCTCAAGATTTTTATTTTCCTGTTCAGATTTTCTTGGACATCCCTTTTTTCTTTTTACCTTTTTATCATTGCTTTTATCATCAGACAGTCTGATTTTTCTTTTTGCTGCAAAAGTTCTAGAATCCAATCCATCTAACTTTGGAGAATCTTGTTTTTTAGCACTTAAAGGTATAAAACTAACAAATCTTTCTGGTGCTTTACGAACTCTTGAAGAATGTCTTCTCCTCTCAACACCTTGTGACTTCCCACTATCTTCAGACCTATTTTCATTTTCGCATGTCAATGGAGAACATTCTAATTGAGAAATATTAATATCTTTTAAGCTATAATTTAAATCTGCTGTTTGTATAGATAAATTAATTCTGGATTCATCTTGAATGCTTGATTCATATGAGTAATTATCATGATTCCTTGTATTTTGTTCATTTAAATTTGAATATAAATTACATACTTCTGGTGTACTCATTACTGAAATACTTTTTAAATCTGCTGTATGTTTTCTATCAGGAGTTAACATATTAATTTTTGAACAATTTGTTTGAGAAATAGTATCAGAAAAATTCAATGGCCAATAATTAGGAGAATTATCAGGGGTTTCTGCTCTAAATAATGCTTTTTCGGGACTACCTTTTGATGATGCAATAGGGCTTAACATACTAGGAACTTTATCAATCAAATACTCAACTTTTACAGGATTATTCTTGATCATAAAATCATGTACAAAGTTAGGTGAACTACTACTGTGAGGCTTTATCCGAGGTATACCTATATCAGACTCCCAAGTACATTCTTCTAGCTCATCTGTATCATTTTTAGATGTTGCAGTAACCAACCCTGAATCCACAATCACTTCTGATTCGCTTTCAAAGTTTGATTCACCTGCTGAATCATAATTTTGTCTTTTCGCAGCAGCTAGAAGTTTTTTGTTTCTACTTAAAATATCTGAAGATCTTTTAAATAACCTTTCTATTTCAGTCTCAGTCTCAGAAGTAAAATTAAATTCTGATTTTAATTTTGACCTTTTTTTTCTGCAACTTTCAAATGTTCTTTTTTCTTCTTGGTTCTGCACAAGCTTCTGAACACCGTTTAACAATTCTTTCATTAGATTTTCAGTACTAACATTATTTTTGTCGACAGTATTATTTTTAAATCCACCACTAAAGAATCCTAAAAATTCAGGTTCAGATTCGTAAGAAACTTTCCTTAGAAGAACATAATTATTTTCTTTTAAACAATTAGTGTTCCAGCAACAAATTTCTTCCTGAAAAACTTCGCCTTCATTTTTAGAAAGATCTGAAATTATAGTGCTATTTAAGCACCATCTATTTCTTTCCATAACAGGTGCAGAGTCATTTGAAATGGTAAAGGCTATATTGTTTTGCTGTAATGCACGTAAGGCCTTTAGAATTGTATCTGACTGATCTATATTTTGCATACCACACTTCTCCTTTGATGGCTTTATATATTTCAAATTTCTTTTCCTAGCTTTTACAAATACACCAGTATTAAAAGGAATCCAAAATTTCCTCCTTCTTTTTAGCTTTTTAGTGTTTAGTTTGTTTTTATAATCATGTATATTATTTAATGGTTTATTTTCTACGTTATCGTCCCTTGTCAAAGCATCATTTGTCCTTTTATTATTTTCGTCATTATGAGAAGGATGTTCATCTAGTTTTGAATCATTATTAAAATCAAACATTGCACTGCTTTGAATTTTGTCCCCAATATTGCTTAACATTTCTATAGGGTAGTTTTTCTCTACACAAGGAGTAGGTGGTGTAACAATAATATTTGGTATTTCTTTATCTCTTTCTATACTACGTTTAGAACTTAATTGTAAGGGTTGAATGTCATTTACTAATACAAGTTCATCTAAAATAAAGATATACAATCAATGCAACAAAAAAGTGTGAATACATTTAAAAAAAATATATACATACCTTCTAAAAATGTTATTGGAGATAAAGCTTTAGGCAAAATCATTTCTTTAAATATTACTTCTATTCCACCCTCTGGTTCATCATCAATATTAAGAGAGTTTTCTATGTACAGTGGAATATCAACTTGAATACCAGAGTCTTTTTTCATAACTTTTGTAATATTATTGAAATTGTCATCAGTTTGTACACAAAAGTCTCTCTTTTCAAGGTTGCATATTTTTTTATGGATAATTTGTTGCTTTAATTTGTCACATTCAATTTCTAATAAATGATATTTCTCAGTGACATCTCTTAATTTAGATACTTCAAGATTTAAAGTCTGTTCATATTTTTCTTTTATTGACTCCCAAGAATAATTACTTTCCTTCATTGCCACTAAACGAATGTCCATTTCATTAATCTAAAAGAACAAAATACTATATAAAGGTACAAGTAATGTTTTTTCTCTTACTTTTGTGATGTTATTAAAGTTGTCATCCGTTTGTACACAAAAGTCTCTTTTTTCAATGTTGCATAAGTTTTTGTGGATTATTTGCTGCTTTAATTTTTCACATTCAATTTCCAATAAATGATATTTCTCAGTGACATTTCTTAATTTGGATACTTCAAGATTTAGAGCCTGTATTTCATGTTCATATTTTTCTGTTATTGACTCACCAGAATATTTAGTTTCCTTCATTTCAACTATACGAATGTCCATTTCATTAATCTAAAGAACAGAAACTATATAAAGGTACAAGTAATGTTTTTTCTCTTACTTTTGTGATGTTATTAAAGTTGTCATCAGTTTGTACACAAAAGTCTCTCTTTTCAGTGTTGCATATGTTTTTATTGATTATTTGTTGCTTTAATTTGTCACATTCAATTTCTAATAAATTATATTTCTCAGTGACATCTCTTAATTTGGATACTTCAAGATTTATGGTCTGTATTTCATGTTCATATTTTTCTTTTATTGACTCACCAGAATATTTAGTTTCCTTCATTTCAACTAAACAAATGTCCATTTCATTAATCTAAAAGAATAAAAAACTATATAAAGCTACAAGTAATATTTTCCTCTTACCTTATTCTGCAAAAATATGATTTGAGTCTGTAGTTCTTCATTTCTTGATTTTGTTTCTTGTAAATTCTTCTCTATTTTACATTGTCTTTCTACTAAATCCTCGTTTTTTTCTATTAACAATCCATTTTTGATTTTTAGGTCTTTTTCAATATGTCTTAACTCCCTGCAAAGTTTTTTTAAATCTTTAACTTTACTAGTTGGACTTTTTAATGCTGACACAACTATCTCAGATTCGCAAGTACAATTTTTTAAAGATTCTTCTAATTTTCCAATTGCTAACTGGGAATCTATCAGAGTATGTTCATATTTATCTTTCAAATTGGCATATTCAGATCTCAATTGAGTTAACTCTTCCTTGTCTTTTTCATATTGTGGCTTAGTTGATACAATAACGAAATTCAGTCGCTCAATTTCTATCTTTAGTTTATTAAGCTCGTTATTACTTGCTTCATATTTGAGTTTAACGTTCCTAAATGCTTGTGTAGCTTTACCAAGCTTATCGCTTTTTTCTTTAAACAACAATAATAATTCGCTAAAAATTAAAAGAATATGTAGATATGTGTTTAATAAATGTCATTTTACTTACTTTGTTTTAATAATTTTTTCTTTAATTACGGAAAAATCTTGTATTTCAAAAGTTATTTCTTGGTTAGCCATTGCGGTAATTTTAACCTCAATTTTCGCAGTTTCGCACTTTAAATTGTGTGATTTATAAGCACAATACGAGTAATTTGTTCGCCAAACTTAAGAGTTTAGAATATTAAACCAATACGTAATAACCCATTGTAACTATATCAAATAGAAGATAATGAATTTATCGAAAAAACAGCGGCATTTTACGCGATTTTACTTTTAGGTTCTAGTAGATCAAATTGTTCGTAGTTCATTTTTACACCACGGAAACGACTTTTATTTCGATATATGGTATGAATTATCTACTTTATGATATATGAGGTCAGTCATATATAATGTCATATAATATGACATAAAATAAATTTTGATATTGAAGTAGTTCTCATATAACCATGTGGATTTGCTCTCTATCACAGCTCACTATCTAATGATCTATTACAGTCTATTAAGATTCAAGATTCTGAAGAGGTTATGTTTGGTTAGGCTTTTTTTTATTTCAAAAACGGATAGAAAACAGTATGTGTTTGTAATTTTGTAATAAATCTATTATCTGATTTATTAACTTTGTTGTAATTTGTGAACTAAAGTTTGGTTATTTTAGATTTTTTCAGAATTATTATAAACATTCGGCGCATTTTATGATCATATTTATAGTGTATCAGCGGTGTGTAATAATAATTTGCAAAGCGGGCCAGCGGCAGATTCAAAAATGAAGGAAATTGAGAACGGCGCTGAACCATCAGCCCCTATTACAAAAAAGGGTATACTTACTTCGTTTAAAACTGGCAAACCGATGAACATTCCAGAATCTGATATTGTAAGTATAATATTAATATATAATTATTAGAAGGATATTTTTTAATAATTATATTCATAGCTTGGGAGATGCCGATTTGTTTCTGAATTTGAGAAGTTAAATCGCATAGGTGAAGGTACATACGGAATTGTATGTAAGTATTTTTGAATTTAACACTTAAACGTAGGTATTTAAATAAATCATTTTAGACCGAGCCAAGGATACAGTCTCTGGACAAATTGTTGCTTTAAAAAAGGTAAGAATGGATCAAGAAAGGGATGGCATTCCAATAAGTAGTTTGAGAGAAATTCAGGTGTTACTAAATTGTAAACATGAAAATATAGTTCATTTAAAGGAGGTGGTCGTAGGAAAGAGTTTAGAAAGGTAATGTTAGTTAATATTCTTCTTAAAAAAGTAATAAGAAAATATTAATTTTAGTATTTTTCTGGCAATGGAATATTGTGAACAAGATTTAGCTTCTTTGTTGGATAATATGCAGGCTCCTTTTACTGAGTCTCAAGTAAAATGCATTATGTTACAAGTATTAAGAGGATTAAGGTATTTGCATCACAATTTTGTGGTCCATAGAGACCTGAAGGTTTCAAATTTACTTATGACTGATAAGGGTTGTGTGAAAATTGGTAAGTCTGGAGGTATATGTATAGAATTATTAACTTAGAGTAAAATAAATTCTATTTGCAGCTGACTTTGGTTTAGCAAGGTGGTTTGGTGTACCTCTTAAACCAATGACACCACACGTAGTGACTCTGTGGTATAGAGCACCTGAGTTACTTCTTCAAGCCCCTACACAAACTACTAGTGTAGATATGTGGGCAGCAGGATGCATTTTGGGTGAACTTTTGGGTCATAAACCTTTGCTTCCTGGAAGAACTGAAATTCAACAACTAGAACTAATAGTAGACCTGTTAGGTATAAGTTATTGTAGTTACTAATAAGGACTATCTAAATAAATACTTATTTAGGTACCCCATCTGACGCGATTTGGCCAGGATTCAGCAGTCTGCCTGCTCTACAAAATTACAGTCTCAAGCAACAACCATATAACAATCTTAAGCAGAGATTTCCGTGGTTGTCACCAGCTGGACTCAGACTTTTAAACTTTTTGTTTATGTACGACCCAAGAAAAAGAGCCACTGCTGAAGAATGTTTACAAAGTAGTTATTTTAAGGAGCAACCTTTGCGTAAGAATATCTTAGATGTTTGTTTACATAATTTTACCATATCAATATTTACAGCCTGTGATCCAAAACTGATGCCCACTTTTCCACAGCACAGAAATATTAAAGGCAGCAATAAAAACCCTCCTCCGGCAGATAACACTGGTGCTGGTGATCAAACCAATAATCTACCAGCAATATCTGACTTGGTAAGGACGTAATAGTTTAAATAATTGGCAAAGTATTTATATTATTCTTTTTCAGCTTGGATCTATAGTAAAAAAGAGAAGAGTAGAATAGATGTTTTTTTGTATGTGAAAATACTGAAATAAAATATAAGTTGCATGAATTTTTAACTTTTTAAATTCTCCCTTAAGTGAATAATTCTGTTTTATTTAATTACTTCACACTATTGTGTTTTGTGACTATATTATGTTTTTAATTTAATTTTAACAAGTAGCTCACTTAAAGCTATAATATTCTATAAAAAAATAAAGAATTTTCTGATAGAATAAAACTGGTTTATCTGCCCATCTGACGCCTGTTTACCTGCTGGTCCTTTAAATCATGAGCAAACAAATTCTAAGATGCGTGGAAGTAATGTTTTTAGTTTTCACACACAAAACAAAAAAAAATAAAGAAACAAGTAATGGAAAAACACAAAATAATGACATCGTAAAAACATGGTTTTACGTGTAAAAACTGTTTTTTCCGTTAGATTTTCCCCATAGTTTTTCCACATCCATCCCTGGCGGTAATGCTTAAACTTTTTTCCATATAATTTTTATGTGCGTTTTTTATTTATCGCGCCATTTACGATGTTGTCAATATGAAAGTTTAAGTGGGTATTTTTGAGGTTTTTAAATTCATAATAAAAGTACTGGGGTGTTGATAAAGTTTAGGATCACGAAATTACATTATTATTCTTTGAATAAAAGTTTATTATTGTATTGTCAAATACAATAATAAACTTTATTGTTACTCTTTAGTTATCGAAACAATAAAATACTCAGATACAAGGTTTGTGTGATGTAACGCTGTTTCGGGTAGTAAAAAGTAAGTGAAAAAGAATCCGAACTAGGCGTCGCGTGTCGTGTTGTGGCAATTTCAAATGTTAATAAAATTGTTGAAAAAATGTTAATGCATAAAGAAGAGCGTAATTAGGGCGTTGTTGGGTGCAGTAACATTCAATAACTCAACTTTCCCGGGTATTCAACTCTCCCGAAACGTTTTAAAGCTTCAAAATAGAGCTTTCAGATGGAGCGGAGCGTCCGCGAGTTCCATGAGTTTAAATGAACAATTTCACATGGGTCGCATATGCTCCGTCCGGATGAGTTCGTCGACGGCTATCTTGAGAAAACACGACGGACGCTCCGTTCCATCTGAAAGCCCTGTACTCACACCGATTTGATCAAAAGCAAAATTCAAGCAGTTCGACGAAACAAGCGAGTAATCTCAAGTGATCGGTGACCACAACCGGTAGGTTACCATTTGCATTCACTTTAATTTTCTGCACCGGTGGTTTTCTGAAACCGTTCGACGAAACAAGTGAGTAAAAAAGTTGTTTACGATATTCTCCGATGATGGCAGCACCGGCGGAGATATAATCATGGCTCTGATCATGGAATACACAGGGAGAATACTCTGTCTTCTGTGGTTTTTGTTATTACTGTTGCTGGAAATTTAAATGCTAAACAAAATCATATTACCTATTTATTATTCTATTTAAATAAAACACCAAACACTTACAACTGAGTTTTATTGCTTAGAAGCTACAAAGGGCAAAAATCATAGTAGTATATAGTAATAAATGAGCAATTAATACATATAGATTAAGATTAAAATAACAAAAAATATCAATGACAAATCTCCAAAAATTGTAATTTCTGAACACACTTTTTGACTATTGATTGGTTTATATGAAAAATAATTTTAGACGGATTTAAATCAATTACGTTTATATAAACGTATGTTTTGCAGAATAAAGTAAACAATTTATTTGTACAAAAACAAAAACAGTATAAAATTATATGCCTTTGTACAAAAAAATGTATCTCAAGATAATGGCTCTTTAATGTTGAAACTATCAATACATATATGTATTTCTCAAAAACACGTTTGTATTATATATCATACGACCGTTAACTTACCTTAGAAATGACGCTCGATCATATTTTATATGTAAAATTGAGATAACGTAGTTCTTTTATGATCATAGGTATATATGTATGTATACCGGGTGCGTCTCAATAGTGGCTCACCCCTATAACTTTTTTATTTTTTCAGATAAAATAACGAGATTTGGCATGTTAGTATATGACATAAATTAGGACTGATTGACGTATTCAATTCTTTTCGGCCACTTCCTGTTTTACCGGATATGACTATCACTTTTGATTTTTAAATGGCACCATCGGTATTTTTTTACTTTATTTGACAGAAAATGACATTCTGAATAGAATGACATATCATATGACGTTTTCGCTTAAAACAAAATTGAATCATTTGTCAATTTTTTCAAATGGAACGAGGGTGGCTCATTAGTATATTTGGAAAAAGCATTTTTTACGAATAATTTGGTACCAAACACTTGGTATTTCGAGTCAAATTATCGTTATGAATCGTATGTTGCAATTTCAAATAAACCATATTCAAAAATGTCAAAAGTTGACATACGATATGTTATTCTATTCAGAGTATCATTTTCTATCGAATAAAGTAATAAAATACCGAAGGTGGCATTTAAAAATCAAAAGTTGTAGTTATTTCCGGTGAAACAGGAAGTGACCGAAAACAATTGAATACGTCAATCAATCCTAATTTATGTCATTTACTAATATACCAAATCTCGATTTTTTATCTAAAAAAATAAAAAAGTTATAGTAGTGAGCCATCTTCGAGACGCACCCGGTATTGTATATCATTAATATTTAATATAATTGTCTTTTTATATTAATTATTACCTATCTATTTAATTCAATTGTTCCTTATAAAATACAAAATAAACTTAGGGAACAGACTTTTATACTTGTTTATAACTAACTATACGTAAAATAAATATTTTAGACACATTTTCAGAAGTTACACAGTAACAACATAAAGTACTAAACAGATTCCTAAAAAGGTCAAATTATTAAATTTGTTAAATAAGGTCTATAAATTAATATCAAGTGGTTTAATTTCATAAAACTTGCCTAAGTCGATCTCGGGTGCAGTTTCAATGCCTTTAAATTATCGGTTAAACCATATGGTTAAACCATACTACGGCAGAGATGGCTACTTCCGGATTTCTGGAGCTCAATATCAGTAAAAAAAATACTATATTGATTTTGGTCTCGACAAAATTTGTTGAAGAAACTTAATAAATGTTTATTCTAATAGCATGGATAACAGAAATTATTAATACTGGCAAAGGTTGTTATAAAGTTAATAAAATGTTTAAAACCGTTATAATTCATAAAAAATTAAACACCATCTACAATAATTAATATTAGTGCGCTAAGGTAACTTATTTTTGTTTTATTTTCCTATCCATAAAACCCACATATAGCTGCATATTTGTTTCTTTTATTAAATTTAAATTACTTAATTTTTTTTTGTTTACATTTTTTTCAAAATTCTGAATTTGCTCATAGCATAGTAACGATAAATTACTGCAAGACATTGAAATACTGCAATGGATAAGCCAGAAGAACATAGACAACACGAAATAAACCTACGCATTTCTTATAATATATAAAATTAAAAACATGTATCATAAGACATATGTTAATATTCATAGTTTTGAGGATAAATCATCACTTTCATGGAAAACCTGAGTACCTCAGTAACAACTAAAACAATAAAAAATCCTTAACGGTTTTATCCACTGATACAAACTTCTCAGTGACAATTCTTTATCCATAAACGAAGTAATATTTTAAATATCTTCAAAAAATCCTATGGGTATTTGGTTTGGTATTTGGCCATTTGCACACAGAGGTACAGACATTTTTTAATATTTTAAATATTGAAACCTAAAGTAGGTACAATGTTTATATACTTTTATATAACTACTAGATACTTAAGTATATTTCTAATAAATTTTAGTAGAACCTTATATTATCAAAACATGTGAATCTTAACACCAAATACGTTTAAATAAAATATACGACGGCCTCCCCATAAGAGCAATGAGAGGATTTACGTCCCAGTATTGAAGGAGGACAGAAAATCGAGTCGAATGTTCAAGACATAGGTTCATCCTTGTTTAGTCAAACCTCCTATAAACCAAGGATAGACTTATGTAGGAAATGCATTGAAATTCTATAGCCATCCTTCAATATCGGGACAGGAATTTAAGCGGTACCCTCCGTATACTTTATTTTAAACGTATTTGCTTAACACTTAATAAAAAAAAGAAGTCTTTCGGCATTAGAGAAAACTGTATTATTTTAGTGAGAACATATAGTATTCCTTCTCTGAATGATTTTTGTAATAGAAAAATGTCTTTTTTAAGTAGTAAAAATATTATCTGCTATAAAAACGGCTTATTAACATTATAATTAACAGCGACATGTCGTATTCTTTCAATGACTTTTGTACCTGATAATAGGGATAATACATCGTAAACCATCGAATACTTGCTTTTAAAACATTATAGAAATTAGGGAAGTTTGCGAGTTGGAGCATTGTTCCTAGTTGTTTAATTAAAAAAAAAGTATTGAAATCTAGAAAACTATAATACAAACATTTCTAGACGTCTACATAGATTCGTAGATTAAGATTTATTAAGAAAGGCCTTTTGTTTGCTTTTAACAAAATGCTATTTTTAATACAAATAAGATAAGCTTACGGGTAATAACAAAAATAATCACCCCTGAAACCTAATTATTTGAAACACAAAACATAACTATTGAAGGACCAAGTATTTTTTTTTTGTTATGCAAATTTGTATCGATGAAAAGTCACTAGAAAGTTTGTGTCAGTGGATTTAAATCGACAATTTTTTAGAGTGTTCTGTTTCAGCTATGATTTTCCATAGTAATAAACCCACCACAAAAACCTTAAATCCATATGAATTTGCATCACTTTAATTAAGCTTCTTGTGCTAGCGATAAAACTTAAATCAGAGTAAATAAGCTAAAAGGACATAAATAAAAAACAAAACAAACGTTTGTATTGTAAATTAAACACCAGACCATTAAAGAGCCATTGTCTATTTACCTACCGTTAGATGGCAGGTTATTATTGACGCGGAGGCATATAACCGTGTTGTTGAGGATTTGGCTGAGAGAATGCTTTAGAGTAAGGGTTGCCCTGACCACCCGTGGGTGGATAAACTACACTGGCCGGTGGGTGGCCGTATTGCTGCTGAGTTGGGTACGGTATGCTACCTTGGGGTGGGTTTGTATACGCGTTTGAACTTGGAACTTGGGAACTGTCCATCACTTGGGGAACGTATCGGCTGAAATACAGTCAAAGCAGTATTAAGAATAAGCTGAAGTATCTAGTAGAACTTCTACACTGTGCATTTTCCGTAATCATAACGTATTTTCAGTATGTACAGGATGTCCGTTTTTCGTGTTTTGCAGGGTTTCTCGTGCAGCATTCACATCACTGTGCTACCTTTTTATGAAACTAAATATGCTACACACAGATTTGTAACTAACCTAACCTAGCCCTCTTAGTTCCTGAAATACAGAGCGAAATTAAAAGTAACTCATGTTTTTTTTTAATAGGACACCGTGTATATCATATTTTATCTTATTTGCCTTGTTATAAGCTTTCTAAAAATATAACATTTTTTATACTTATTTTCATAAACAAGGGAAAAAGTGTATTAATTAACTTTTTAACATAGGCGGTTTAAAATAGGTAATCAAAACAATCGAATAATTTATCCGACATAAAATTTTTGTTATTGGCTATTCCACGCTAGTTTCTGTGTGTAGAGTTATTGCACAAGTGCATTAAAAATATCGATAACTCTGAGTGTCAGACCATATTGCTGTGGCCTGGCACCCAGCACAGAGTGCCCAGAGCCTTCACCTATTGGTCTATCAGCGATTTTCTCTCATACACAACTGGCCGCTTCCTTTATAGCCACAGAATAACTACAGAACGATCAGTCAATGTAATAAAAAAGCGAACAAAATTTTTGCTGCCATCTATAGCGGGCCGAGTGCGGCTCAGGGCGTCAAGGTCAAAATAATTTATTTATTAAATAAAAAAGTTGTGTCGGCGGCACGACTCGAACCCGCTACCTTCGTGTTGCTAGTGGAGAGCCATATCCCCTACACTACCAGATACCTTTACGAGAATTATATCTTTGTGGTAATAAATTATGAATTCAGCCTGCTACAATGTATATGTAAAATTTATCCTACAGGCTGCTTATACTATTACTGCTTATACTGTGAAAATTAATCTGGTTGCAGTTCATCACAGTTGTATAATTCAAGAAGCACTAAGAAATATAGCTATCTTTGAATAATATAATATGAAAAAGTTGGAGTCGGAATACAATAAAAAGCAGGAGAAATACATTTTGTATTAAAAACAAAATATAGGCAGCTTAAATATAGTTTGAACCATAAATAAAGGAGTATTTGAAGTACAGTGTGGACGGAAGAGGGAAATCAATCGCAAAATTTATAATATAAATTTAAAGACCGAGCCAATAGTAACGTCTGAAGCAACCATACATACATGACGAACTGTTCTGCAACCATATATACACGACATAAATTAGCACCATCTATAGTGGGCCGAATCGTCAATTTGTAATTTAATGCTCCATAAGAGTGACTGGGCCCTTTTTATAGCGTAAATCCATGGTACAAAGAAAACAAGGTATGATCGATAGCGGCTCCAATTTCGTTAAGTTTGCGCATACCACCTGTGACGTCATACGCCATACAAAAAAATATTCATATTGTCCAATTGCCACTAATAAAAAAAGACCTAAAATAGAGAAGAATTAGGACATAACCCCAAAAGTTATGTCAAATCATCGAACTTGACATTCGTTTTTCGTGTTTTGCAGGGTTTCTCGTGCAGCATTCACATCACTGTGCTACCTTTTATGAAACTAAATATGCTACACACAGATTTGTAACTAACCTAACCTAGCCCTCTTAGTTCCTGAAATACAGAGCGAAATTAAAAGTAACTCATGTTTTTTTTAATAGGACACCGTGTATATCATATTTTATCTTATTTGCCTTGTTATAAGCTTTCTAAAAATATAACATTTTTTATACGACAACCTTAAAGATCGTCGGATGTCTAGTTCCTTTGAGAAAATACCTATACTGAAATTACGGAAGCATCTGCGATGGAAAGCAGCAAACTTACTTGGTTAAATTAAATAAAATAAAATAATAATACTAATAATAAACTAGATCTAATTATGTTAAAAAGTTGAAAAATTAATTTTTTACCTTCTTTATGAATATAAGTATAGACTATATTATATTTTAAGAAAGCTCATGATAAAGCAAATAGAATTAAAAAATAATACAAGGTGCTATAAAATACCCATTAAAAAAACATTTTAAAATTTGAATCATATTTCGAAAATTTGAATCATATTTCTAGCTCCCAGCGAAAAAATTGTTGCGCCACCGATTTCTACGTAAAATACTCTACGGAACTCAGTTTTCACATGGTTTTCACCTTTTCGATAAGTTCGTAAGGGGGTCGAAGAATACAACATTTTCAAATTCGCCTTGTATTCCAGAAACCAATGACAAATACCTAGGATAAATCTGTGTGTAGCATCATAGTTGCATAAAAAACACACAGTGATGTGAAAAAACTGCATCTTTATATCTCTACTCATAAATAAGAAACTCCATAAAACATACAAAAATGGGACACCCTGTACACAGTGGTGAAGCTATGGGGGGTGTTGGGGGGATGCTCCCCCAATGTATAATTGAGTTGGGAAATTAGTCATGACAACGCGACGTCTAAATCACAAATTAAGAATATTAAGGATGGTACGATTTTATTTTAATTTTAGAGTTGTCATAACAATAATTATTTATGCATGTTATAATGTTCAATAATGTTAAATTTACAACCAAAACCAACCCCCCCCCCAAAAAAGTTCTAGCGTCACCACTGCCTGTACAGTCTGTCCAATAGAGAGAATGACTGTATCAGTTGACTGTCATTTTATTTCAAAAGCAATTTGTTTTTTTAGTTTATTTTGTGTATCGTCTGACTCGTTTGTTGAAATTATTCTTTGTCTGGTTGAACAGACCATACTCATAATGAAGTATATCAGACAAAAAAAAAGGGAAAATATTATTATGGAAATGTTTAAGAATTAAAATTTTGCAAAAAAAAACTTAAATACATATAATTCATTTCCAAAGACTTTAAAGAAGTCTGTATATTTTATCATATTTATTATTTAATAGACGTAATAGTCTAAGAGCTGGCTACATAAAAAACCTTATCATCGTTACATGGCTAATTTTTTGTGTATCCTTTTGTGTAGCCATTATGAAACAGTCATGTCTGCCAGCGCGATCCCGGGGCTTAAAGCGGGGGCCAATCGAAAGGGTGAAATTTTGACACTAAAAATATTATAAGATACATGAGTTATAATTGCGAAAATAGCTTTTATTATTATTAAGAAACGTGGAAAATTGTTGGCAGACATTTTTCTAGTCGCTAGAATGCCGACAGACAACGCGAAAGAGGCATGAAATTTTAAAAATTATTAAAAAATTAAATTTGAAGAATGACAAAAATTATGGCATATTTGCATGCCGATTGGTGAAATGTCATATTTATTTATTTTAAAAGCCGTATGCAAAAGGGCAGACAAAAAGATCGTGGCTCAATCAGCTGATGCAGACAGTTATCAAAAGCGCGATATTACTCTAGCGTTTTATTCAGGGAACGCTGGCCGCCTCATCCATTTAAGTATAGTTAAATCATATAATATACGATTATATTATAAATATATTTTTTTATTATTTCAATAACGATTTTTTTGTCTGCCCTTTTGCATACGACTTTTTAAATTAATTAAGAATAAATATGACATTCCACCAACCGACATACGATGATTTTCTTTTATTCTATGCTTCTTTCGCGTTGTCTGCCGGCATTTCAGCCACGAGAAAAATGTCTGTCAACAATTTTACACGTTTCCTAATAATAAATAAAACCTATTTGGCAATTATAACTCGTGTACCTTATAATATTTTTAGTGTCAAAATTTCACCCTTTCGATTGGCCGCCCCCGCTTTAAGCCCCGGGATCGCGCTGGCAGACATGACTATTTCACAATGGCTACACAAAAGGATACTTCACACAAAAAATTAGCCATGTAACGATGATAAGGTTTTTTATGTAGCCAGCTCTCGGTCTATAACATTATAAATTGGGTATTCATTTAAATAAAAATAGATATCATAATTATTAAGTAAGGAACTTCAAACCCATTACTCAGTTGTGACAATTAAAAAAAAACAAGTTGATAAGTGCAACTTGGTAAAATCTGGGTTTCAAAGTAAATGTATAACAGTATATCCCCGGACTTTCTTTACAAGAGGAAAAACTTTTTTATTATTAACATTTTGAGAAAAATGCATTTTCCATAAAAGTTTTTGCTTGTTCTAAAATAGTTAATCCCGTTTATACTTTTCCAAATATCCGTACCGTTTTAGAGAAAATTTAAAAAAAACATGAAAATTTATTTGAATTTTTCCAAGAAGTTCAAATACATTTTCCAAGTCTAAAAACTAAAAGGCGTTTCTATGGTAATATAATTTCGATTTCATTCTTTGATATATCGTTATGATTAATTTTGATTAAGCTTCATTTTGAACCTAGAAATTAGTGGAATAAATTAGTGGTTTTAATTAGCGTAGAAGTTTGTTCCTCTAATATCAATGTAAGCATTCAGAACGTTAAAACTACTGGTAGTAATATTCAATTAGTGGAAAAAGTTAACAAACTTTTAACTTTTCCACTAATTATACTTCAAAATTTGCGAGGTAGGTATATGTATGTATGTATGTAATTGTCTTTATTTCCCACAAAAATAAATACAAGAGAAGTAATGTTTAGGTCAATATGATGTATATCATATTGACCTTTGATTATCATCGGTCAACAGAAATTGTGGTTAGAAATCAAAAGTTTATTGTTTTATAAACTAAATATTAGGATTTCTCTATAGATACAACTGACTACCCCAAGTTGTTGCTATGATATTCTTCTTGTTGCTATAACTATTCTTATTTTTATTTATGTTTTTTTGTGAAAAAGAAACCACTAATTTATTCCACTAATTGCGAGGTTCTGAATGAAGCTTTAACGTCATATTTTTTAATGGTGTTAAAGTACATTTTCCAATAACTATTATCACCCTTTCCGTAGCATTGAACTAAATAAATTGTGTGCTTCTTTGACATTTTAAAACAACAAAAAATATGACGT